ATTTTTCCAAGTTGTCAATATCACATTGAATTAATCCACATTTAATCATTATTTTCATTGTGTTAACTCCTATATGTGCTAATCTACCATGCCATAAATTAAACGAATCAGTAACACGCACAAAAGATTTAATTTTATTTGAGTTATCCTCAATAGTACATAGTTTGACTATTCCTTTGGTGGAATAGCCCTTTCCAACAAAATGTCCATTATAGGTTAATACGAGCTTTTCATATTCAAAATAGATTTAATCCCAGGCTTTCCCAAGAGTACACTACTTGCTAAGTTTCTATTCATCTTCGGTACATGCAAGACATTTGTTAAAGTGATTTTCTTTCCCGAAGTGAAAATTCGTTCAACATTTCCTTTGCCAATCACTTTTGATCTTCGTTCATTTTCCATTTGTATTTCTTGATTGTCTTCAATGTCATGATAAGTTTTGAAGAGAGACTTCTCATAAAATACATAGATTGTAGTGCATGTATCATACCACCCGCCCGGAACTTTACCTTGGATTGCATTAATTTCGCTCACCGTGGCGATAATCTAATGAACAGAGTTCACTTGTCCTTCTTTCTTTTTGTTGTTTCCTATGCTTGCAATACTTAGTACAGTGTCTTGATTTTTCATAAACATAGCAAGGTTCTTTGGCTTTGTTTTTGAACATTCCTTGATCCTTTCTAGGACCAAGAAGTTTCCCTTTCTCTTTAAATTTGTTAGAGTTGTCCACATTGTCCACGACATTGACTTTTGAAGAACCATCATAAGAATTTTCAATCTTCTTATCTCTTGTCATTGATTCTTCCTCAATACGAAGATATTTTTGTATATCTTCCAAAGAAAAGTCTTCAAGAACCGGGGAGTTTAGCAATATTTGCTCCCACTTGAAAAGTTTCTGGAAGTTCGATTTTCTTTGCTTTCAGTTTGTTTACAATTATTTTTAACTCATGTACTTGAGGTAACAAAGGTATATTATCCAATAATTAAAATCAAATTATTTAGTTATTAAGAACTTTTTGGTACTTTCCTCCTCGGCTTTATATTTGCTTTCTAGAAGTACCAAATTTCTTTTGCCAATGTGGTGTTGGTGTAGAGATCATAGAGATGATCGGACAATGCATTTAGGATATGACCACGATATATCAATTCTTTCTCTTCCCATTTCTTTCTTTCTGTTTGAATTTCTTCGGTATCCTTGTCAGTTGCATCAGGAATGGGCTCCAATTTTGGATCAAGCACGTAGAAAATCTTCAAGGCCGTTAACAGAAATTTAAGTTTGTCTTGCCATCTTGTGAAATTTGCGCCATTGAATCTGTCCAAACGTACCAGGTCTTGATTAATCATTTTGATAGTTGCAAGTATAGATTCCGTCTCCATCACAGTAATAATAATCGAAAACCTTTGAGATTATTGAAAAAATTAATGCAATAGAGAAGGAAGAATGAAATGTAACAAAGGGAAAAATATATAGAAATAATCAATGAAGGCTTGAACACGAAATTAATTTCACTGTTCTCAAACGTTATTTGCCTCCTTTCTAATGCTTTTTAAGGATTTTTGGCAAATAGTTCATAGGATTAAACAAGCCTTGAAGAGAAGAATACCAAAAAATAAAAGTGTATCTTCACAATGAACAAGTGAAAAGAAATGAATTATGTGATAATTTCTTCTCAATTTTGGAAGAATAATTTTGGGGATAAATTTCAATGGAATTCTATATTGTTTCTTGTCTTTGGATCATCCATATATAGGTCTTGGCAAGTTTTCATGAAATGGTGCAAAACAAGGATGAAAAGTCACCAATTTTAAATAAAAAAGGTCAAAAACCGACCCAATGGTCATATAGTGTCAACCATGTGACCGCATGGGCTATAGCCATGCGGTCACATGGTTATAGCCTCGTCGCCCCTCCCATTCTCGGGAGGGCTTCATGCGACCGCATGGTTAAGCCCTATTTTTTTTTTCTTTTGATTTAGAACAAATAAATTCCAAGAGTACCTATCTCCAATGGGTCTATCCCTAACAGTTAACTAGATACTTCATAACCTCTTTTGAAAACAAGACATCATACACATCTTTAATGAAGAGACTATCACGACTATTTAAGAACGTGTCTCTAAACAAGTAAACGAAGCGGGCAGTGAACAAAAAAGGATTAAGGCCAAATCTTCTTTATCATACTTTACCTCTAAATCTCCAAATCAGCGACGATCTTCTTGAACACAGATGATCTTCCAAAGATCCGCTTTCTGTCATGCAATGAGAATATAACTTCTACTTCAGATGCAACTTGCTTGTCAGACTTTTAGTGATGTACAATTACTCTAATTTCAATCACAATGCAGCTGGCATTTTTCCTTCAAAATGTCCTGAAGAATATTGTTAGAGAGATGAAGATGAATTTGTGAAAGTGCTTTTCGACCCTTCTATTGTTTTTCCTTTGCAGTCCAACTTGTGGGCATTTTGTCAAATACCAACAATACATAATTCAAATCAATCTGCATGAGTACAACTCGATTCTTCACTTGCTACAACAAAAATCTTGTATTGCGATCCAAGAACGAAATCTCATACTTCATGGTTGCAATCAATAACAAAACAACCTTGAACAAATCACGTCCATTAGATATGATAGCACTTACTGGGAAATAAAATGGATGAAGGTAATATATATGATATGATATGATATGAAGTATATGATTGCAAACAAACAACAAAATAAAAGGAAAAGAATTAATTGGCAGAGGAATGGTGTATTTTATTCAATTGACGAATATGGAGAAAACAAATACAACAACCGTACCTACACAGTTTTTTCATATTTCAGTAATACAAAACTTGTGAAAAGAGTTTAATATTTATAGGGAGTGCATGCTAAACCCTAAAATTACGATAAAGATGGAAATAAGATTAAAAATAATGTGTAATAAAGGAAAAATATTTTTTTTTCCAATAAAAACATGTTGAATGAAGGAAATAATATTTTTCCAATAAAAATGCATATAATAAAGGAAACAATTTTTTCTCCAAAAAAATCCAACCTAATTTGGGTTAAAAAATCTAACACTTAAGACTAAACCAGATAATATTGCTGAAATGAATGAAGTGGCGTATAGTTACATTAAGTGGCATGTACCTAGCTATGTATTTAGGACAGTGAATGATGAAAAAACTAACTCTGTCGAAGAACGTGGATGAATTATTCTTGGTTAAATATTTTTCGAATAAGATCTATTTGCTTGAAATATTATTTGGTTATAAAATGGACCCCTCAAAGGATCTGGATGCTAATCTGGATGAGTATAATAGGTTAGTTCAAAATTTGGCTAGTAATGACAAAAAGTTAGATGATTAATATTTAGCTGTCATCATGTTGAATTCACTTTCGGAACACTTTACATAAGTTAAAACTGCCATGATACACTAACTGTTGCCATGGTAATTGATGCTTTTAATATCTAGAGAATTGGAAGTAAGACAATAAAATATAATGGGAGATAGAGAAGAAAATCTCCATTGACAACCAAAAAATAAAAAATAAAAAAATAGCAATATACCAAATTTAAAACAAAAAGGGGAAAGGTTGAGGAAGGTCTAGATAGGAGAAGAGAAGAGGTATTATAATTGTATAAAGATGTGCTTAAAAGAGATTTTAATGTGTTGAAAAAAGAAGGAAAACAAAGAAGATGAAAAGATAACAATTGGAAAATAATGCTAATGCTAATTTTATACCACCAGTTGCAAATTTATGCTGTAACTGATCATCAATGTTGCAATAAGTGGATTTAAGATAATATAATTTAGAATTCAATAATTTCTTTGATGAAAAGGGAACTAAAAGACAAATCAATAAGATATACTATAGAACGGGGCAGTTGAGAGGATGAACAGAATAATTATGAACAAAGTAAGGTGTATGCTCATTAGTTTGGGATTCCAAAGAGGTTTTGGGGAGAAGCAGTTATTACGGTAGCATTCTTAATAAATCGACGTCTATCTAATGCAATAGCTAACAAAATTCCAGCAGAATTATGAAAATGAAACAGTTTTTGCTCACAATGGAAACAGACTTGAAAACTTATCATTTGGCTGGGGACAGAAAAAAAGAAAGCCTACACTCAATCTACACTTCTGAAAGCCAAATCAACATAATACTTACAGTTGCAAAAGAAACTAAAACATTTCTGCAACATTGATGGTGGTGTGGACTGTGATCCTGATTGATTTGTTTTTCACCTTAGTCTAAGTAGTGTGAGCCACACGTGTAATCGAAATATTTCTAGGATCAATTCCCAAGTGTATGTAGAGTTTCCCTTGGTGGAGCTCAATACAGATTCGAATTCATTTTGATCAAACCACGTTATATTTATGAGTTCTTTTTTTATTATATTGTTCAAGTTTTTAGATTTAATCTTTCTCATCAAACGGTTTTTGTTGGTAAATTACACCATATAATCTTAAAAAATTCTCGGTGAATCACCTCTATTATTAAAACGGCAATATCTGCTGTGTGTATGAAACATCAAGACTCACATATCGAAACCACTGGACGTATCATGCCACTCTATATAACTCTATAGTGACAATATTCAACTTTTTATACACTTTAGAAAAATCTATTCCCAATTGGTTTCACGTTGTAATTAAGATTTAACCATTGATAAATTGAAATATTTTGAAAATTGTGACAAAACTATAAGACATGTCAGTCATGCCATTCAATATCTTTGAACAATTAAGTAATTTTAAATGGGTAAATCTCATTCTGAGGTTCGCAACCTTTCCGTGTCATAGAAATTTAATCCCCATTCAAATTTTATCCCCTTCATATTCCCGACCTTTCATTAATTAGCAAGATTAATTTGTACTAGCAGTTTCTTCCAAAAATATTAGGTAACAGTGATGTATAAACAAAAGGCCACAAAAAGTTAAAAATATGTCTTCTTCTATGATGTTATTACATCCTCGACCTCCAACCACCCACCAAACCCGAACTACCATTATGCCATCTGCACCACCACCGCTGACAACCACCCATGAAACCGCCTACGACCACCACCATTCAGAATCACCTCCACCTGTAAATAGCGATAAAATTCCACAACACCCCACACATCTTCTTGACACTCTAATGTCCTTCAACCATATTCTCAAAAAATTATTCTGTAAACACTCCTCTTTGTACTATAAGAGCTCCAAATATTTCCTCAATTTATACATCAATGTTTGCCTTCTCTTATATTAAAGAAAGTGACCTGGTACAAAGTACTTATTTCAAAACAAAATAACAGGTCTTTTTATGTTGTATTTTGGAGAGAAGGCAAGACAGTAAATAGATCATGGTAAAAAGAAGAGGCATACAAATCCTTTCTAAATAAAAGTCGCATGTGCTAGGCTTGTATATTCAATCCACTCTAGCAAGTTAAACAAAAAATAAGATAAACTTCCAAAGAATGCCTGAATGAAAATATCTTTGGATGATGCTTGGCTCAGCCAATGGATAAGGAGGAGGAAGGCCCCCAAACTTAATCTTTTGCTTGTCCTCGAGCAAACACCAAAACCCGTAAAATAATTAATGGATATACAAGCACAATTAAGACAAACAAAATCACTTAAAATAAATTTCACTAGATAGCTTTCCTTCATATCTCAGGATTAAAAGCATAACTTCGATTCTATGAACCACTTCAAAACTATAATGCAAAAGCTAAATTCTCACATATTCAATGCAAAACGGGTGGTGTGTGTGTGGAGAGTCAAGTGCAACGCTGTACAATAATAAGTTGACCCAATTCCCGATCTTAGAAGTCAAATTTTTCCTTACTTTGCTCATGGGATTCACACAGCCCCAAACTTATTTTTTTTTTCTCTTTCCAAGGGTGTAACCTAAGGTTAAATTTTCAATAATAATTTCTTATACCACTCAAGTTTGGTTAGATTTTACTGATGGTAGTTCCACATGTCAACAAAATGAGAATTCTCCTTATTTTTGACTGCTTCAACCTCTAGGAATTAACCAAGTTACTAACCCCTTATCAAAGGTCTAATCCTCGAAAACAAGTGTTCGGGGCTTAATCAAGGCATCTGATATATATTTTTTTCTCTTTTTTTTTTTTAATTTTTTTCCACATATATCTTTATTCTTTAATTACTCTTTGTGCGAACGTCTCTCCCTTAAACTTTCTAAATGACCCCTGTAGTTAGTTTTAGGCCGATAACTTCCAAATCAGATGACTTTAGGGTACCAGGTTTTAAACTCTTAGAGGCTTAATCACTCGAGTCATAAAGGCTACGAAGAGACGATTCACAATGAGATTATTAAAGTTGTCCTCATTGGGATTTTTTTTCTTTTTTATCCGGTGATTAGTGCAATGCCCTTTATTAAACACATATTCTTGAAAATCGACCTCTAACTTAAGGGTTTCACCCAATTTTCATCCTATTGGTCTCGGACAATCCACACAAAAATTAACACACACGAAATCCACATTTATCTCCAAATTTCCTTACAACAGTGCAACCATCCAAATGTCCTAAGTTTGATTTAAGGGTATTGTGATGTTCAATGATTGTTTGGGTTTAGCATCTAAGTTCTCTATTTCAACCTATAAACATGAATCAACCTACTCATGCACAACGCTACAATCAACTCACGTCGTTTCGTAGGAATAAGCAAAAATCTAACTCAAACACATAACTTGTCCACAATTCATAAATCAACGCATGTTTTCAATTATAGATATCAATACTGGCAAGGTTATCTAATACACACAAGCATGCAAAAACACGAAATGAATTTTTTTTTTTTGAATAAAAACACAAACACATAAAACAAGCAAATCACACATAAGTATTCGAGAAACTCAACAATGTAAGCAAATGATGTCACTCCCCCAAACTTAATTGAAACATTATCCTCAATGTGAAATTTAAAGGAAAAGGAGCAGGACTTCCCTGAAATGTCAGTATTGCCTATGATGTTGTGGTGTCTTGGTGTTGCATTTGATTGACTCTTCTTCTACATTTTCCCCCAAACTTGAGATTTGTCCCATTTTCTCCATGTCCATGTTGGTTTGAGTGTTCCGTGACGTCATGTTCCTGAAAAATTAAATTTGAAAAATTAAAATCATAGAATAAGGATTACTCAGCTCAAATATCTAATAACCAACTTAATTACTCCAAGACTTATGGGTAGAAGGTGGGTGATGATTCCTAAATAAACTATAAATTAAACTATCTTAGAACTTTGAAAACAAAATAAATAAAATAAAATAAAAGCTTGGGTTGTCTCCCAAGAAGCGCTTCTTTTAAGTTATTAGCTTGACTTGTGCCGCTGATTTATCATGGTGGCTCAAACCAAGTTATTCCATCATTGCACTTTGTGCAATTTTCATTGATGCAGTACTTTTTTGCTCTTCAAATTTTGATTTGTCTATTCTTATCTCTACCAATAAGTTCTCCAAATTTTTTTTTATTCTGACAGCTTCGTTGATCAGGTGGCTCTTCTTCATCAATTTTCTAGCAATCATTTTTATTGGGAGGTTTCTCATATTGGATGTAAATATTGAATATCTCTTGCTTGTCATCCACCATCAAGATTAGTTCTCCCTTCTCCATGTCAATAAGAATTCGTCCCGTTGCTAAGAATGGTCGACCCAATATAATTGGAATGTCTCGATCTTCTGGTATGTCCAATACAATGAAATCCACAAGAAATATTAAATTTTCTACTTTTACGAGTACATCCTCAACTTTGTCACGTGGCCTTGCGATTGTTCTATCGGCGAGTTGTAGCGTTATTGATGTTGAGTTGACTTCACCTAGTTCCAATTTCCTGTAAGCAGAATACGACATTAGATTGATACTAGCACCAGTGTCACACAATGCATTAGTTGAAAAGGAATTTTCAATTGAAACTGGTAAAGTAAAACTCCCTGGATCCTTCAATTTAGGAGGCAATTTTCTCTGGACTCTTGCACTACTTTCCTCAGTTAATGCCACAATATCAAACTCCGAAAGCTTTCTTTTCTTTGTCAACATCTCTTTCAAAAATTTCTTAGCTTCTTGAGAACATCGAGAAAATTTTCATAGTTTGTATCTTGTTTGTTCTTCTTGAGCTTTTGAGGAAAGGAATGGGAGGCATGTAAGATTTGTCTAGACTTGGTCCTTTGGCAGCTGATGTTTCTGTACTTTCTCAATTTTCAGTTGCGTTTGGTACAGATTTTTCTACCCTTGTAGCTTCATAAATCACTTCTTGGTCATCTTTTCTTTTGGGTCTCTTTGTAGTGATCTCTGGCGCTTGTACCTTGCTCTTTTTAGTTATGACATGAACATTTTGCTCCATCGACTTCTTTCAAAATCTTTGGGGAAACAGAAGTGGAGGTACATATGCTTTAACTTTTAAGGGAGCCCTGGGTGGATCGTTCTCCACTACTTTAATTGCCATCAACTGTTCCTTAGGATTTATCATTATATCGCCCGGCAATGTCCCTTGTGGACGTTCTGCAAGTTGTTGTGCTATCTGACCGATTTGTGTCTCCAATTTCTTGATGGATGCCTATTGATTTTGAAAGTTCGTGTCAATTTGTTGGAACACTTTGTCTGTCTTCTGCACATATTGTTGAAACATCTCCCCCAAACTTGGTCTTCTTTCTTGCTGAAAATTGTTACCATATGAGTTGAAATTACGGGAGTTATTTTGAATAAAGTTTACTTGTTCCTTTGAAGAAGTGAGCATCATGCAACTCTCTGTAGCGTGACTTCTCCACAATTCTCACATACTGAACTGGCCATCATTGCATTTGCTCCATGTGTTTGCAATTTTACAAGTAACTCTACCTATTTTGTTAAAGTTGCTATCTGTGCATTGGTAGATGTTGTGCTGTCTAATTCACACATTCCTGCTGCCTTTGGTGGTACCACTCTTTCTGATGAGAACATTGAATGTGTGGTGGGAATTAACTTAAATAAGTCCATGGTTTGTTGCACTGATTTCCTTATGATTGATCCTCCAGTAGAGGCATCAACTTGAGATTTTGACAATGGTGTAAGTCCAGTGTAGAAGTACTGAACTTGATTTCCTTGAGTGATTCCATGGTTTGGACATTTTCTCATCAGCTCATTAAATCTATTCCATGCCTCATGATACCTTTCTCCTTCTTTCTGTTGAAAAGTTTGAATTTTCAATCTGATTTTAGCTACTCTGGCTGGTGGGAAGAATTTGTTACAGAATTTCCTGATCAGTTGTTCCCATGTAGTAATGCTGGCATGAGGCTCCGCATCTAACCACTCCAATTCAGCATCTCTTAATGTAAATGGAAATAGTCGTAATTTAATAGCATCTTCATTGAGCCCCAGAGCATGGAAGTTCTGACAATTTCTGAGAAATCTGGAGATATGTGTGTTCGGATTCTCATGAGGTAGCCCGTAGAATTGCAGAGTGTTCTCATCAAGTTAATTCAATCTGGCCTGATCTGAAAGTTATTCATCCCAAAATCTGGATACAAGATACTGGAGCGCATGGGTGCTGCTATAGGTGTCAGGAACATTGATACTGGCAAATCACCTTCATTTATTTCCCCTCGCTCATGCTGTTGTTCCGGTGGTGCCACTCTTGTGGCCATTTGTCCAATCGGCTGAATAGGGATATGGATTTATTGATTGTCAGCCATTTGACGTTGCCGTTTTTGTTTGTGTTGTTTGCGTCTTCATCTGAAGGTACATTCTATCTCCGAATCAAATAATTCAAGATCGTCGTATTGGGCACAGAGTATACAACGAACACAATTTTCTGTAAATAAAAGAAAAATAAACAAATCAAATAATAGTTAAAATAAAAATTAATTGAGACTAGAAGAAATAGTCCCCGGCAACGGCGCCAAAAATTTGTTGTCGATTTTATCCCGCAAGTGAACGGATCGTAACCAGTAGTTAAGTGGACTTTTTGAATCCAGATTATCGTTCCCACGAGAACTGTACTTTTAATGCCTAATTTATTATTTCTAACTTCTATTTGACGAAAATAAACAAAAACAATGATTAAATGTGATTTTTATTCTAAAGAATTAAAAATGCGAAACATTGGTTCTAAGAATTCACACACGATCGCAGCAATCAATATAGGTATTTCTACACGTTATATCAATTTACCGAATTTTAACATGTGGTCTAAACAAATAATCCGCATCTCTACGCAATCATTGTTCACAAATCATCTAATTATTGATCAAGCAATTAAATGTATTAAGAACAACATTAAAATCAACACATAAAATATAAAAGCAATAGAATCTCAATTGCATGAAATAAAGGATTCCAAAAGATTACATTGTTCGCCCTAAAATAAATTTAACTACTCATAATAATGGAAGAAAAATGGGAAATTGTCTTAGAATACATCACCGGATTTGTAATAAAGATGTAGAAGAAAAAGTAGAATTCTTGCGCCAAGATCTTCTTCCCCTTCCAATGAATGCGTCTAATCTTCAATTGCTTGGTGTTAATCTTCTTGAATTTCTCTTTTCAATCTCCTTTCTTGTTGTCTTCTCTCCAATATGTCAAGAATGCGTGGCTTGATCCCACGGATTTTTAGTTTGTGGTTCTCCCGTAATTTAGGTCTTCAATTGTGTATTTATAGTGTCTTGAAATTTAGGGAACAACAGGTTACTAATTGGGCCGAGAAAATATTATAAAATCAGAATTTCCTTTTGTTTCAGAATACAGCGCTCGGGCACTGACTTTCAGCTTGTTTCAGCAAGATGGGCGCCCCAGCGCTCACGATGGGCGCCGCGGCGCCTGGTACGGCATTCTGCATGTTCTTCAGGTTTTTTAGCATAACTTTCTCGTTTGATATTCGATTGAAGTGATTCAAGATGTGTTGGAAAGCTAATTCAAAGGACTAGAATTTTTCTTCAGGAATCATTCTCCAATTCGATAGTTTTCTATGTCAAAAATGAGTCTAAATGTGAGACCAAAACTCTGGGGCAAAACTTTTTGGTTGGAAAATGATTTATGATCATATATTGACTAAATTTGATCCCTTTGACACCTTCCTTCATCCAATTGGCTTCTAGAACTCTCGGATATTCATTTCAAGTTTCGACACAACTTTTGATTAATTGCATTTTAATCCTCGAACTTTGGATCTCTTACGTTTTGGTCATTTCATCCAATTTCGCTAGCTTTTGCCTATTTCCTTTCTTTGACTTCTTTTAGCTCTTGTTTTCTCCACTTCCATCAATCTACAAAACGACACCAAAATCACTTGTTAGCACTTCTAAAATACTCTCCAAGATAGCAAAATCATGAAATTAATGACATAATATAATGAGTGTAAATCACTCATTAAAGGTGCAGTAAATTCAGGGTAAAAAAAGATAGTTTATTGCTGCAAAAATACAACAATTTGGATCTATAAATTCAGCGGAAGGGAATTCATTGTATAAATACAACAATTGGATCTATAATGCCCCAAGTTGTTTTGTGTCAGGAGCTCGGAACGTCACTTGGAAACATAATCTTGAGCCGGTAAACAATTAATGCGGAACTAAAGACATCCGTATGAATCAACTTCAACTTTGTGAATTTGGCTCCCTTTTGATTTTAGAGAAACAAACGCTTCTCCTTTTATCAAATATTTAGCCTCTATATAAACTTTATTAAACAAATTTCAACCTTGGTAGCTTTCCTTCAGACTGAACTACTTTCATGTCCTACTCACTCACGTACCGCAACCTATGGTGTTAATCGAACTAGCAACTGCAACCTTATTTGCACAATTGGATAAAGAGTTCCAATTTTAATTCCTCGAGCATCAACCATGGCTTTCTTAATGACTGTTAAATCACCTCCATTGAAAGTCATAGTATGATCTTTATCATCAAGTTGTCATAGTGGGATCAGATTATGCACCAATTCAAGTACATGCTTCAATTTATGAATTTTCCACACAGCCCCTTTGTTGGGAATCTACTTATACATGCACAGAGGAATTTAAAAATAATTTTCGATTTCCACCAAGAATCTCCTTTGTGTTTAGATAGAAATTGTGATAAGGATTGTACCTTTGAAGAATTCTCCAATCCTTTTGCTTTTCTTTTAGTTCCGTCAACCTTGATTCGCCACCATAGCTGTCCAATTGTCCAGCCTCCAACGGTGATCCACACAGAGAATAAGATTGCAGCTTCTAGGGTTTTCTCTTGTGCTAGCAAGAATAATGAAAACCATATGGATCTCAAACCCTAGCCATGTATTTATATAAACCCAAACGGGCTCGGCCCGATCCGGTCCAATAATTAATTAATCCAATTAATTAAACCCGACCCGTGAATTAATTAATCCAATTAATTAACTCGGGAATATAAATAACAAATCCAATTAATTAATTTATCCAACGATTGTTAAATTAACCAATTGGCAATTTGCAATCTTCCAATTCTCTTTTGTGTGCGACCCATTAGGTTCCCGACCACGATGCCTAACGACGTGAAATATTATTTTGATCTAATCAAAATTGATAAATTAAAACACCCTTTTAATTTATCGTCAATTCACACTCGCCGTCCCTGATTGACATCGGCAATGTGTCAGGGCAATACATGTGACGGGAAATGTCACATGGTATGACAAAATCAAAATCGTTAGTTTACCGTGAAACTATAATCCCTTCGTCAATATGATCCGATCAATTACGAGATATGAAATTGTGTCAATCTCGATCATCGATCATATCTTTCACTCCACTATTAAGTCAATATAAGTTAAAAACTCTTTTTCTGACTTATGAGTACACCTTGGCCAAGGATTTCATCATCAACTTAATTTAATGAAACGTAGATCATAATCTCCTACTATCTAAGAGTGACGAATCCTTTATTGATCAATTACAACCTTTATACAATTCTTGACGTAGCCGAACGATATCGTATTAGCGGCCCTTTTCAGAGCAACATCCAACATCGCCAAAGTATGACTGTCCTCATATAAGGTACCATGACGACCTCAAGTCAAAGGACCAATTCCACTACCGAACGTTAGAGATT